TTTCAAGAAGTGATTGATCTATTTTGTCTTGATATTCTTTCATTTGGGATTGATAATCAACTTCACGTTCATCCATACCCATATTTTGTGTACGATCTAGATGATAGAAATGAGATACAGATAACAAAAAAAAAACAAAACAATTAGTATAATCAAACCTCGATCTTGTAATTCAGTTTTAAGTCTTTCAATCTCTTGTTTTAATAAAATATGTTCATCATTAAATTTCGATTTTTCTTCTATCGATTCTGCTAATTGAGTTTGAATATGTTGAGTTTGAAGAGTAGCTTCTTCTAATTTATCTTGATAATCTTTTATGTGTTGTTCAAATTCTGATTCACGTTGATGTACAGTTTTATGTTCTATCATTAGAAGAAGAAAAAAAGAAATTCAATGAAATAAATAAAATGAACTAACCTTGTTCATTTAATTCATCTATTTTAGTTTGAAATTCTTTATATTGTTTTTCATGATCTTGTTTTAATGTATTAATAGTTTCATTAAGTTGATATTCAATGGCAATTTTTTCTTCTCGTAATGTGATTATCTCAGATTGAAGAGATTGTATTTCATGAAGTGATTGATCTTTCTGAATTTGAAATTCTTCTATTTGGGATTGATAATGAACTTCACGTGCCATGTTTTGTGTTTGATCTATATATGGACAAAAAATCAAAATAGATATTAGAAAAAAAAAAGCATAAATTAAACCTTGATTTTGTAATTCAAGTTTAAGATTATCATAATCATGTTTTAATTTAATAATTGTATCATTTAATTGTTTTTCATGAAATAATTTTTCTTCTTGTAAATTTGTTAATTCAGCTCGAAGAATTTGTATTTCACGAGTATCTTGTTCTTTTTTAATTTGATATTCTTTTATTCGTATTTCATTAAAAGCTTCACGTTCTTTTAATGCTATATTATGAATATGATCTATGAAAGATATATAAAATAAAATATTGATTAAAAACAATTAATATAATCTCAAACCTAGATTTTGTAATTCATTTTTAAGTTTTTCAATATCTTGTTTTAATGTATTATTGATATCATCGATTTTTATTTTTTCTTCTTGTAATTCTACTAATTGATTTTGAATATGTTGAGTTTGAAGATTAGCTTGTTCTAATTTATCTTGATAGGTTTTTAGTTGTTGTTCAAATTCAAATTCATGTTGATGTATAGTTTTATGTGCTTTATGTTCTATTATTAGCAAAAAAAGAAGTTCAATGAAATAAATAAAATGAACTAACCTCGTTCATTTAATTCATCTATTTCAATTTGAAATTCTTTATATTGTTTTTCATGATCTTGTTTTAACGTTTTAATAGTTTCATTGAATTGTTTTTCAATAGTAGTTTTCTCTTCTTGTAATTTAGTTAATTCTGATTGAAGATTTTCCATTTCAAGCAGTGATTCATCTTTCTGGCTTTCATATTCTTGTATTTGGGATTGATGAAGAACTTCACGTTCATTCATTAGCGTGTTTTGTGTTTGCTCTATAGGATAGAAATACGATAGAGATTAAAAAGAAATATAATTAAAACCTCGTTCTTGTGATTCAAATTTAAGAGTATCATAATCATGTTGTAATTTATTAATCATATCATTCAATTGTTCTTCATCATTTATTTTTTCTTCTTGTAAATTTTTTAATTCAGTTTGAAGAATTTCTATTTCACGCATATATTGATCGATTTTAATTTGATATTCTTTTATTTGTATTTCATAATGACCTATACGTTCATTTAAAATAATATTATGCGTCGGATCTAATAGAAATAAATACATGAAAAAAAAATTTAAGAATAAATAGTTTAGTTTTAACCTTTATTTTGTAATTCAACTAATTGATTTTTTAAGATTTCATATTGTTTTTCATAATCTTGCTTTAATAAATTAATAGTATTATTAGATTTTTTATCATGTAAAGCTTTTTCTTCTTCTAATTTAACTAATTCACTTTGAATATTTTCAGTTTTACGTGCTGCTTGATTTAGATTATTTTCATATTCTTTTATTTTTTGTTGAAAATGTGATTCACGTTGATTTAAAGTCATTGTTGCTGTATATTCTATAATAAAAATTCGATATATAACAAAATGAAATAAAGGAAAAATAAATAAATAAATAAATAAATAAACTAGGGATGATCCTTTATCTTTATTTTCTAAAGATAAATGATCCTTTATCCCTAAAAAATAAATGATATCCTATTTTTCCAATCATTTATCTTTATAAAATAAAGATAAAGGATTATTGTTTTTCGAACGAAATAGGCCTAAAAGTGTTCTAGAATTATAGAACTTGCTTTGAAGAACATTTTTACAATTGAATAGATCTGTTTTGATAGAAATAAAGTTTCGAACGCGCAAAATAAATTGCAGATTTTTCATTAATATTTAGTGAATTTTAGCTAGAAAAATAGAAATTGAATTAAAATTAATATCATATTTTTAATCGGTATAAAAAAATAAACAAACCTATGAATATTTCGAATGCTTTTTAAATATTTCAAGTTTTATCGAAAAATTTGCCCTGGTACCCCTCAGGACTCTGATACCAAAAAAGTAGACTTGACGAAGATGTAATTGTAATCTATTAACACATACTCATTATGTGTGCTACTATCATTTTACATGTTTGTGTCTGTCGAATTCGATTTCTGGCGAAATCCACTTTTTTTGTCTCCAGAATCCAGAGGGGTATCAGGATAAATTTTTCGATAAAACTCAAAATATCTAAAAAGCATTCGAAATATTCATAGGTTTGCTTATTTTTTTATACCGATTAAAAATATGATATTAATTTTAATTCAATTTCTATTTTTCTGACTAAAATTCACTAAATATTAATAAAAAATCTGCAATTTATTTTGCGCGTTCGAAACTTTATTTCTATCAAAACAGATCCATTCAATTATAAAAATGTTCTTCAGAACGAGTTTCATAATCCTAGAATACTTTTAGCTCTATTTCATTCGAAAATAAAGATAAAGGATTCATTTATCATTATTTTTTAAAGTAATACTAAATGACCATCCCTAAAATTAACCTCGATCATTTAATTCCATTAATTCATTTTGAATTTTTTCATAATTTTCTTTTAAATCATTGATTAAAGCATTTGTTTTTATCTCTTTTAACTCATTTTCTTCATGTATTTGTTTTAGTTCAGTTCGAATTTTTTCTGTTTCACGAGTAGCTTGATAAATATTAGTTTGATATTCTTCTATTTGTTTTTGATAATATGTTTCACGTTCACTAAGTACCATATTAGATGTAGAATCTTAGAAAAATAAGAGAGAAGAACAAAAAGTAAAAAAGAAACATTTAATTACGAAACAAAAAACAAATTGATCTACCTCGATTTTGTAATTCTGATTTAAGTGTTTGACATTCGTTTTCCATAGTGGGAACAATATTTTCTTTATATTGTTTTAATTCATTAAATAAATCTTTCATTTGTTTGTCATTTGTATGTTTCTCTTGTTCTAATATAGTTAATTGTAATTGATTCTAAAAGTTTCATATATATAGTTTTTGAGAATGATTAGAGTTAATCGAAGATATGATTAAATTTCTTCGATTTTAATGATCCTTTGCCTATAGATACTATATAGTATTTAGTTTCTAGTACAACATTGTGGAATTATTGAATTTGTAATATGTCTATTTCTCAATGGTCTTTGTAGGAATTCAGGTTTTTAGGAAAAATTGTATTTTAAAATTTTATCTCAAAACTAACTCCATTTGAGTTTGAAGATTTTTGTATTTTCAAGCTACGAACTTTTCGAAGCATGATGAGTAATACAAAAATATTTTGAGAAGTTTTCATAGTCTGAAACTTAATATACAAACTGCAAGGCTTTCAAGTATATGTAGTTAGAAGATAAATTTTCCGAAAAAACTGAAATTTTTGAAAAATAGATATGCATTGAAAATTCAATAGCTCTATTAAGTTTCAATAGAAACTATCGCAGATTTTCTTGTTAGTTAGTTTTGATCGTTGTACCTGATGCGACTGCTGTAGTAGATAAATTACAGCTAAAAAATATCACACTTGATCGGAACTGTAGGTTTTAATTGATTTCGCAGAATAAAAACCATGGCTTTATATTTCGTGAAGGAGTTTACCATAGATATGTGATCTTTAGTGTGAGAGCTGTTAGCACACCACCCCTGCAGGAATAAAATGTGAAACAGGATGTAGCTGCAGTCGCTAATCATAGAGAGATTGCTTTATTCGATGTATTTTGAGATACATTTCTTTACCATCCTTTTACTTAATCTTCCACAAATGTACTAAAAGGAAGTTGGGGAGGTGCAGGTCCTTCCAGATCCAGGTTCGGATCGGGCTCGGTTACACATTCTTCTGGACCCGCTGCTCCCCAGATGAGAAATACAGCAACAAGATATAACTGTACGTTGAGAGCAACGAATAAATAGCTGAAACCTTGGTCCTTCACTTGTTCATGTACACGAAGGGTGCTAGCTATTGATGGGAAAAACCTCAGATTTGGACACGGATCCACAAACACGTAGATCCGTAGCTACCTAAAGGAAGTACTTCATATATATTAATGAGTATCCCGATCTCTGGAAGGTTCTACCTCTATACTGCAACACTCCTACTAGATCATATTTCACAGAAAGTTAGCAAGTAGCGAATCTCCTCCGGGAACGACAAAAACCAACGTTTAAGCTCTCTGTGAAATGAATGTCACAAAGAGCCAAGTTCAGTCTTAATTAGTACACTACTACTCGATCTATGTAATTTTCTTGAAAATTTTATTCCTAAATTGAAAGTCTAGAATGATACAGGTTTGACTTTAGTATATGTTCTCTAGCAACTATCCTTTTTTGAAAGAAAAGAACTGATACATTTTGGTCTTGTTTAG